CCCCCCCTCACCCCCTGCCCAACCCGCGGATACAACAATCTCACATTAACGGGTAATCCTCGTTAAATTAACGAATGATGCTCGTCGTGCATCGGAAATACATTGTCCTTTTTTTTCAGAATTATATTCATCTGTTTCCATTATCAATGGTGTACTACATCTGGGGCTTTAAATCGTAAATTTCGATTGTTCATTTATTGTTATCAATTAAATTATCTCGGGGTTTATGATATTTTTGATTTAGAAATCGAGGTTTTTCGGAAATCAGCGCCATTAAATATTAATATACGCAATTCTGAGCCATCCTCTTGCCTATAGGGGACCAAAATTTGGTTTTAAGGCTCTATCTCTCATAGTTTCCGAGAAAATCGCGAAAAACCAAAGTGCCAAAAAAAATTGATTTAATTCATCTTGTATAGGGTGTGGGAAGTGGAAAAACGTAATTCTGAGCCGTTGATCTGCCTATACGGAACCCAAATTTCCTCAGGAATCGAATGGAATAGGTTTTGAGGCTCTATCTCCCATAGTTTCCGAGATAATCGCGAAAAACCAAAGTGCCAAAAAGATTAATTTAATTCATCTTGTATAAGGCCTAGGAAGTGGAAAAACGCAATTCTGAGCCGTCCTCTTGCCTATAGGAGACCAAAATTTGGTTTTAAGGCTCTACCTCTCATAGTTTCCGAGATAATTGCGAAAAACCAAAGTGCCAAAAAAAATTGATTTAATTCATCTTGTATAAGGCCTAGGAAGTGGAAAAACGCAATTCTGAGCCATCCTCTTGCCTATAGGAGACCAAAATTTGGTTTTAAGGCTCTACCTCTCATAGTTTCCGAGATAATTGCGAAAAACCAAAGTGCCAAAGAGTGTATGGAGTGTACGGGAGTGATTCACGCAATGGTGCGAATAGTCACGGTCTTTAGGAAATCTCCATGAAGAATAATAAAAAAATGAGAGTGCTTCGTCTGAAGTAAAAAAAATATTCTTGCAGACTTCAGTTATAGCGAACCATCATTAGAATTTAATTAATAAACAAATCATTCATTTTAAATAACAAATTATTATATGTTGACAAATTCATTTTCTTCTTCTTCTAAACAATAATTCAATTTCCAACTAATGAAATCTTTATTTCAGGAATCATTTGTTTATATCTAAAAAAAATTGTTGGATATGAATGAATGTCAAGTTTTGGTCTCAATAAACCTAGTCATTTGGTTCAAATAAAAATCATTTGTATCAAGTAGCCATTTTTTCATCTAAAAAAATTTTATTTGATGTAAAAAAAATTGGAATAAAAACCCAGTTAGCGTTTGAAAAAAGGAATGGAGCGCTGAACCCACCAGGAATTTAAAGATGATTGCTATTCCAAATAAGATAACAGAAGGTTGAAAAGAGGCATTTGCATACAATGAGCAGAAGCACTTTCTAAAGAGTGATTGAAACACGAGATGAGACTGCCCCCGAACACTTCCCTCCGTTCATCAGAAAATCTAGGAAAATTTTCTAAGACAGCGCTTCTTCACAAATCCGATGAAAATTTAATCTTATGACCCCCGTGTAATTAACCTGCGCGATAAAAGTCCATAACGATGGCAAAGTTTCCGAAACTTTGCTCCCAAACTCAGAAATTCTCTCCCCCATTCTCTCCCCCATTCTTCTTTTTTACACTTCCCCTATAGTATGAACATAACTCAAACTTTGAAGATTAAAATCCGAAGTAAATTCAAAACAGAAGTTAATATGAATTCTGGCGGTGTTCATAATTAATTTAGAAATGCAAAATTCATATGAAATTTTCAATTAAATTCATTCAACTCATATTAAATTTACAATTCATGTTAGAATTTTTTTTCTCCCATTTTTATTATATATATTGCCCCTATAATTGACTTTATTCCATGATTGAAGTCTAGTGTCATTGATAATAATTAATTTAGACGTGCAGAATTCACATTAAATTTTCAATTAAATTCATTCAACTCATATTAAATTTACAATTCGTGTTAAAATTTTTTTTCTCCTATTTTTATTATATATATTGCCCCTAGAATTGACTTTATTCCATGATTGAAGTCTAGTGTCATTGATAATAATTAATTTAGACGTGCAGAATTCACATTAAATTTTCAATTAAATTCATTCAACTCATATTAAATTTACAATTCGTGTTAAAATTTTTTTTCTCCTATTTTTATTATATATATTGCCCCTAGAATTGACTTTATTCTATGATTGAAGTCTAGTGTCATTGATAATAATTAATTTAGAGGTGCAGAATTCACATTAAATTTTCAATTAAATTCATTCAACTCATATTAAATTCACAATTCGTGTTAAAAAATTTTTTCTCATGTTTTTATTAGTATATTGCCCCTAGAGTGCACTTTATTCTATGATTGAAGTCTAGTGTCATTGATAATAATTAATTTAGACGTGCAGAATTCACATTAAATTTTCAATTAAATTCATTCAACTCATATTACATTCACAATTCGTGTTAAAAAAATTTTTCTCATGTTTTTATTAGTATATTGCCCCTAGAATGCACTTTATTCTATGATTGAAGTCTAGTGTCATTGATAATAATTAATTTAGAGGTGCAGAATTCACATTAAATTTTCAATTGAATTCATTCAACTCATTAAATTTACAATTCATGTTAAAAATTGTTTCTCATATTTTTATTGTACACATTGCCCCTCAAATGGGCCTCTGCTGGATCTTTATTAATTAAAATAATAAATAATAACACACAACAGCCATGAATAATTTTTTTTCAACTTTAAAATTATTCTTCTTCATTACACTCAACGACTCAACTGGAGTCTATTCACACCACTTTAAAAAGAAGAACGATGCGGACTGATGAAAGTTCCTTTCTTCCTCATGCATGTATCACTCGTGCGGAAGGATTACAGGAGAATAAAAGGATGAGGGCAATAGATGGAGACTTGAACCCTCTCGTGTATGTCCGGATGTGCACCAGCGAATTCGCATAATCGCCTGCCGCATAATTTCGCAAATTTGTCGCGGTTCAAAGGATCCTCCGCCTGAATTTTTGTCACCATCGTTCCACCACGTCCATTCTGGTTTCCTCCTTTTTTTATTCCTCTGCACGCTTTGTGAAAAACTCTTTGATGCATGAAATTGTCACTGATATGAATTCATTGCTTCACATTCCCGTTTGCTTGCAAAGTTACTCATTAATTATATTCATTAATTTGGGGATGCATCTCTGTAATTGCGACGAAAGTCTCATTAAATTTTTTTTTATTGTCGCGTGAATTTTGAGGTACCATTCTTTGAAATTTTTATGGTGTTGTAGCTAAAAAGTATGGAATTTCAAGGAATTTTGTTATTGAAAATTCAAGTAACTTTGGGAATTATCGCCATCTTGCTGCTAAAAAATTTGAAATTTCATTGAATTGTTACTAAAATCTGAAATTTCATCATTTTCCCTCCTGAATCGAGTTCAATGTCATTCTAAAAATGACTATTCAACATGAAATTACAATTTTTTTCCAATAGTGAATACAATCTAAGTAATCGAAGAGCAAAATGAACTTCAGGAATTTTTAACTAAAATTAAGAAAAAAATCCGAGACAAAGGATTTTTTGTTTTTTGCAAAATAGTTAATTTCTGACAAACGAACAGTAAAATTTGTGAGCTGTTCGTAAAAAGAATACAAAGAGACAGTTAAATTTAACCGCACTATCATCCTTTTTTTATTGTACGACACTTGGTGATTTTTTACTGCATTTTCCTGGCAATATTTCGTTTCAAAAATTTTGAATTTCCGCCCAAGAATTTTTTTAACAGTCTACACTGTTACAAATTATAATTAAAAATTTTTGGTTAAAATTCCCGGTCCATTTTTCCGGAATGTCCATCACATTCTAATTTCAAAAAAAAGTCAATGACAACTGTAAATTTCATTCAAATTATTTCCCAAAAATTACTAAAAATCGAGAAAATCCAGGTGAATATATTCTTGCATCTTCACTTTATCGAATATTCAGGGTGACTTTTGCCTGAATATCTACGTTTTCATAGGAAATTCAAGTATAAAAGTTCTAGTTTTAATTCCGGCGAAAAATTTGGAATTCCACTGAATTTTCAGTGAAATCTACAAGTCACGATTTGATTCCCCCTAAATCGCCTTTAATTCGACTTTTCCCACGAAAATTATTCAAAAGTGTTACTCGCCAAAACTATTCAACTCATATCGTTGAGTCTCCGTAAATTCCACCTAGGTTGAATTTATTCCGTGAAATGATCCTCCCCTGTTCACGGCTTTCAACACGTTCGAGTAGTGAATTTGCGGCGATTGCGTTAGACGCTGAGGATCGCTGGAGGGCTGTTAACGTCGCAGTATATACGTCAACGTCGATGATTGTTAACCGACGCGACGTGGCTGCAGTGTTTACAGGCGTGCTTGACACTCCAAAGTCCGCTATCTAATCAATCCGATGAATATGAATCGACAACAGCCGGTGAAACGAGGAAGAGCCGGATTTTTCACTGCAATCCCAACAAACCAGTGCGAACCAGTGTAAACACGTTATCTTTTAGGTACCAGGAACATCATTTATCTCCATATTTGAATCGAAGAATGCCTGGAAACTCTCGATATGTGGAATCAAGTTGCAATCGAAGAGCTGAATTTGAAAGTTTCTGAGCGAGATGGTATGGGATTGAAGGTAGCTCTTTTCCATCCGCAATGTGTTTGTATGAATGCTGGAATACCACTGGGGATTCCAATGCAACTTGATTTTCAACATCACACGACCCACAAGGCTACGAGGCGTTGGCATACATCGGGTTCTCCCCTGTCTTTGGCCGTGCGGTGGATATTTACTCGAGAAACAAGTTGGAAAACTCGTAGTCTCACTATTTTCGTCGGCCTTTCTCCGCATCTTATCTCTCCTTTCCTTGTAGAACGATTGAGCAATTTTTTCGGGGGATTTTGGCATTTTTGCGCTAGGGAAACACGAGCGGGTGCCGTTTGTCGTCATGTCGCAGAAATAAATGTGACGTGAAGTGTGAGGAAACAATAATTTTGTGGGAATTGAATAAATGGAGTCATTTGAATAGGTTGTAACGAAGCTTTTAGTCAAACTTAATTTTATTAATTAGAAGTTGAATCATGATCTGGATGAAGAGAATAAATTAACGTGTTTTTCGGCTGATCTCGAGAATTTTTGTTGCAACGGAATTTGTACGGATGCGTTTTATCGTTTATTATCAATTGGAATTTCGATTATTATCATGATCATGAATTTTTAAACTAATATTCATGTTTCAACAACTGTGAGACGTGAAATGAGAGGAAAAAATAATTTTGTTTTTATGATGCAAATTAAGATTTCATTAATTAGAAATTAAATCGTGATGTAAACAAAGAAAATAATTTATTAACATGTAATAACCCTTCATTCCGATCCACCAAATCGTTTATTCAATACTAATAAATTATTCATGTCAACAATTGAATCATTTTAATTCACATAAGTGATTTAATTAAATAATTCAGCTGAGTAGAGCAGGCGCATTAGTCCGTCAGTACCATCATACTCCCCAAATTTCAAAATGACCTCCTCGCAGTAGAAGATCGTGCGGAAAGACGGAATTCATGTGTCCATATCCTGTGACAATGTTTTCTTCATTGTTTACATGTAGCTATGAAAATAGTGTACATCATGTCCACATTTCAATTCATTGATTCAATTCGCATTTCATGTTTCTATGAAGAAGTGCAACTCCAGATGAAGTTTACAAGAGAATGCTCTTGACTAAAAAAATCATTATTTTCATGCTCTTGATTTTTACCCATGTGATGGACATATTTTGTTGATATCGACATTACAAGCGATGAGAAAATATTCGTCAATTTGGCACAAGAATTACCCGTCAATCTTCTCATCTTCTAGGCATAAATCAAGAGGCAGATGCAGTTCAGATGCTGTTAGCTAGGTACCTAAGACGTCGTCTGCAGGCTACTCAGCTGTCAACGCCCCCACCGCCCTCCGTCCTGTTCTCGTCAAATCAGCATCGGGCTAATGTTCGTCAAGCAACAAGACGACAGAACGATTTACCGTCAACGTTAGATGAGACCGAAGCGAGAGATAAGAAAGAGTTTCAGAGGGAAGAGGGAGAGTTTGATGATGACGCTGATGATCTCCAAGGGATCGAGGACAGCGATAGGGGGAGAACGAGGATTGATTTGCTTGCCGGTAAATTGAGATTTTTTTCCGCATCCTGAGAAATTGCGTGGTTGAGTTTAATGAAATTCTCTGACATTTTTGTGTCCATTTCGACAGGTTTTTTGTCGGGAATTGGTGGAATCCTTGATTCCGATGGGAATGCGTTTATTGTGTGAAGTACATCATTCATTAATTCCAAACGTGTTCATAAATTAATTATCTTTGTCATTATTTTATTTCTAATTGAAATCTTTTGGCATGAGAAACCATTTTTTTATATTTAAGCTTTATCGCGATCTATTTGAATCAATACATTCAATCGATTCAAATAAATAGACAAATAAAAAAATATTTCAATTTTTTCAAATAAATCATTCATTTATTCCAAATAAATTATTCTTACATTTCAGTAAATTAATCCTCTTCGGCATCTAAACAATGACTTCATTTTTAATTAATAAAATCATTAATTGAATCAAGAAAATATTTGTTTATGTTCAATGAGTTATTTTTGCTTGAAAGAGGAGAAATGCAAAGAAAATAAAGTTTAAGTTTGAATAAAAGATTTGTTACGATCCATTTATGTCAATCCATTCATTTTATTTAAACAAACAATTTCTCTAGGTCCGCAATTATTCGTTTAAAAAATTAATGGGGTGAAATAGTTAATGGATAAAATTCAATGCAAAATCGTGAGATGAGAGGGATCCCTCGACCTCACCTTCATCTCCTCTCGTTTTATTTTTCGGGGATTAAGCCCTTCGCTGTAAATATGAAAGCTCCCGGTGATAAAGCGAAATGGATGGCAAACAACATTTTAATCAAAGTTTCGGATGATTTACCACATAGCGATTTGGGGATTCCAGAATATTCTCCCCGAGCATTTTTCAAACTCCACTTTTTCAGTGTTTTTTTCAATCCCCTGTCGCTTTTTTTTCGATCGAAAATAGCCTGTTAGCGATTGAGCTTTGGAATATCCGGCGAAACTTTACCTGAACGCGTTATCGTAAATCCCCGTTGCGGATACGTGATATCAGACTTGAACTTTTAATCGAGCTTTTGCGGATGGTCAATGATATTGCAAAACGTAAATGGAGGGTACGCTTTCCGAATTGGAAAACTCATTCTCGATAACAATCGTCAATTTTTTCAATTGAATCGGAGTAGAATGGCGTTCATAGCGATGGGAATAACAGGAAAAAAATGAGGAAACGTGATTGGTGTTCTGAATTCGTTATGCAATTTGGCATGCAAAAATACTGCTGATCGGACAACAATACTCCGAGGACTGGATGACATCGCTGAAAAATTGGTTGAATGCCCGGAGAAAAAATACGAGATTTTTTCGCGTAGGAAAATGGGTGGAAGATTACTGTTGAATGTTTTTTTAAATTGGACGGAATTGCCGGGACGCTTTTTGGAGATTTTCGTCGCATTGTAGGTCCCCGGGAATTTCAACGATTTTCGCACGGGAAATTTAGAATTTTAGTGGAAAACAAACAGAAGTTGCAAAGTTCAATTTAATTATTCCGTGAAAATTAATAGGAATTTAATAATTTCAGATGAATATATTCTTGAATTTTTAGTTAATTGGAATTAATTAAGGAATTGTTGTCCTCCTGCAGCTCCAAAATTTTTAATTTCAACATAATTTTATGGAAATCGAGGATTTTTTATTTTTTTCTTCCTTCATGAAATTCAATATCACTCGTCTGAAAATTATAATTTAAGTGTTCATGAAATTTTAATTTTTCCAACAGAAATTTCAAAATTTTATAGAAAAATAATTTGAACTGTAAATTTCAGTTCAATTATTCCATGAAAATCAATCGAATTAATTCCAATTAATTAATTCTTGAATTAATTAATTGGAAATTCAGTTTAATTGGTGAAAATTCGAAGCAGTTGAGGAATTCTCGTCCTCCTGCAGCTCAAAAATTCTGAACTTCATCGAATTTTCAGTGCAATCTGTAATTTCATGATTTCCCTTCCTAAATCGCTTCAATGTCACCCCTGAAAATTGCTGATCAACTGTCCAGGAATTATTATTTGAAATGAAAGGAAAGAAAGTTGAACAACAAATTTTTTGTCAATTTTTCGTTGATTTTCATCTCTTTGAAGTCGGCCTTGTGTACAAGTTGGTACACTGCGGAGCAAAAAAAATAGATTTGGAATAGCGGGACCAAAAGTTCGGTAAAGATTTGTCTTAGAGGGTAGTCAAGTTGCTGCGCGAGTTCAAACAGGACTCTGGCAAAGTTCGATAGAGCAAATATTTTCCCGACAAACGAGACCTTTGAATAAACTTCGGGTACAACCCCACTTACTCGAAGCAAGTTCAACAATTACTATTTTCCCTCGAACGTGTTCTTCTCTCTTTATACTCCATCCGACTGTCTAACGACTAATATCGTTCGTGCACAGATGGATGATATGGGCAAAAAATATTTGTTTTAGTCCCAGGAATTTTGAAAATTGAATTAATTAAAATGAAAATTGAATTTATTCAAATAAATGTTTTCCCTGTGTCTTCCCAGAGAAATACTGAATGTGAATGTAATGAGACATTTTTTGGCTGAAGGCCCCCGCGCGATGGCCAGTCGCAAATTCCCTGGAACTTGCAACAAATTGCGTTAAAAATAAAAATAAATAAATAAACTTTTGCATTAAAAAATTTGCTATTCGTTCCACACTGATAAAAATTTTCCACTGAAATTCCCGTGAGGGGCTTGGAAATCTCTAACAAGTAACATAACGCTCAAATTTCAAGGAATTTTGTAATTAAAAATTCATAATTTCATGAAAAAATCCGTGGGAATGAGATTTTAACTCAATTATTCCGGACAAATTAATGAAAATTCAGAGAAATCTCTCCTTAAACTTGAAATCCCTCCGAATTTTCAGCGAATTCCTTCAAAAATTCTTGAAATTTCAAGGATTTCAAAGGAATTTTCTGAAAATTCAAGGAAATTAAGCAGTAAATACTCATTTTCACTTAAAAATTCATATAAATTGTGGAATTTCCGTCTTCCCGCCGCTATAAAATTCTGCCTTCCCCCGAATTTCCCCAAAAACTTGAAGTTCCATCGACTGTCTTCCCTCCAATCGAAATCAAGATCTTTTCCCCAAAAACTCATCCAATTTTTTAAAATCCTACAACACATCTTTTATTTCTCCGTGTTGCCACCCAAAGATAAAAACTTCTAGACCAACTGAATCCACATTTGCCTCAAAAATAGTCCCCCGCAGGGCAGTCCCGTCAGGGCAGTATTCAGCCCTAGAGTTTATATTTTCTCACGAGAAAGACAACCTCGCGATAACATTCTCCCTCTCCCACCGTGAACACCGCTTTCCCCTCCAACTAGAAACCGCAACTGCCAAAAATGTCGGCGTTCCCACGTATCCGGACTTATCAGTTCCGTCCCAAGCAATCACAAAATGCAAAATAAGATCCCTTAAACGTCCGACCCAGCGCTCTCAGCGTAAACCCACCCCCCAGCATTTGCAAACTCCATTGAGACTAGTCCCCTGGACTTAATTACACTTCTTGTGCAAATACCGAACTGTTGCAGAAGGGACTGGATGCATCATGCTCAGTGTAACATAACGTGACTGTTGTCGAGTCTTTGCAAGGCCTGGAGAGACGACAATTTGGCTTGACGACTGGCTCTGGCTTGCCAATATCTCCACTTCCTGGGCTCTCGTTATGCCCGAGCATGCTGTATCACGTGAGAAACCTCAAATACGGACGAGTCCTTCGGTATCATGCACTTTACCAAGTAAATTAGCCCTCGCGCTGGCGCACATGTCCCAACTAACGTATCTATCCAGCCCCTCGCCCTCTTCATTCCGGAGAATCCAAGGGGGAAGTAATTAATTCCGATATTATCCTGACGGGACAATTAAAATTAGTCGGCCCGTTATCATGCGGGACGTGGATTAATTGTTGCTAGTACCCCCCCCCCCCCCCCCC